TGCTATGACACTTGATGATGTATTATGGTACTTTGCTTATCACTGCAAGCCCACTGGTTGACTTGACCATCATCCATTGCTTCTTTCATGACGAATATCAGCAGTGCAACTGTGGCAATAAATATCACCGCCTCCAATGCCGCACTTATTGGAGGAGCACATTCTACTGGAAATGAAACACTTCAATGTTCAGTTAGTGCTGATCTGGAATAGTATGGAGAGCAGGGTGGTGAAGGGTTACACGCAAATTCAACATCCTTGCCTATGAGCACTGTGGAGCATGTGCAATGCAGAAACTGCTATCCAATAGTATACAGAATCTGATTTCCAGCAATCCTAAAGTCCTCACATTGATCCCCAAAGGTGAAGAGCACACGCATGAAGAGACGTACATGTAGCTGCTATGTCATCAACTTTGCGTTGAGAGAGTAGCAGACGATCGAATTCTCCTTCTCCAAGATGAATTGCAATCAGTCTAACGATTTATTTGTGCTCTTTTCTTGTGCACGGAAATCTGGCTGTAAGCTGTCCTCAGGGGAGAACATGTTCTAGAATAAGAGCAGTGGGGTTCCATCTGTTCACGTCATGATGGTAGTGAGTCAAGCAAACGTGCCCCCTTCTTGTTCCGAAGTTTCAAACACAACTAATTCCATGATGCACTACATTACATTGCATCGTCTTGAAAACAATTCCTGTATTGACTCCAGGACATACTAACTTCAGTACTTCGCCAAAGGGAGGCTTCCAGGTCTTGGTAGACTTATTCTCCTCCAGCATGGCCTCATATGACCTTTCCAAGGCACGAGTTCATCGCCCCAAAAACAAAAACTTTCTTCGATAAATTTGAAAAATGTGCAGAAAGACTGCGAGCGTCGGCCCGCTGTGCGTACGCAAGCTGTTGCGATGCGGGTTGCTATGGTACGCCGCCATATTGATAAATGTCGCACTCGGAACAGCCGTGCATAGAGGATCAAAGAGACGTTCATGAAGTAATTATCAAACAGACAAAGAGATGGTTTTTGTTGTGCCTCAACTAGAATTATACATGGTTATAAGGAAGTCATTTTCTTCGGGTATCGGGTTCGGGTAGTTTTGCACGAGTAGCAGACCGGGTAATGTTTCCATGGTAACACCGCATTGCACCCTTTCCCTTACATACTGGGTAGACGTGCGGAGTACTACATGAATTTGCACACGTGCACTGTACATGATGTCATCTGCGACTTCAAGTTTCCGGGTACTATTCTGTTATTCTGTACCAGTCTACCCGAGGTTCTCACGGGTAGCATGGGTAGCATGGGTACCCGACTACCTGTGCACACGACTAATTCTGAACTCAGATAGTGAGCCAATTTAACTATGGCAAAAAAAGATTAGGGGTCAACAAGAGAATATTCTATGCTTGTATCCTCGCTGTTCCACTCCAAGTGTATAAATCCCATTGCAGTTTGATCATTCTCTTTAGTCACGAATTCTATTGATAATTGTGACAAGAAAACGTTTTGGAATACATTATTCCTTCCCATGGTTGTGATATGAGTGCGCATTTAGTTATATTCATTGCATTTTTAAGATTATTGTCTCCACGTCGCCTTTTTACATATTCCTTGTAGCCCTAATCTATACTCAGTATACTGTATGAGGTGACTTCAAGAGTTCAAGTACCGCTTTTAGCCAAATTCTGACTTTGGGGCTCATAGTATGGCCGAATTTGGACATTGTCCTAGCCAATCAAGAAGCCGATTACGCGAGAAAATCGGGTCGATTTTGGAAATGACAAAACACAGCTTCCCCATCACTACCTCTCTGTCTCTCTCCCTCTTGTGTGTGCATCTGCCCCTATATGGGTATTGAGCACTCTTCGGACAATTGAGCACGCTAGTCGATTACGTTTAATCAGCATTATAATTAATCACTCAGAAAGTGGTGGGCATCACGCAACTGCATCGTAAAAAAGGGGTTTGTCAACTGGCAACCGCTCTATTCAGTTGCTATTCACTCTTGGTGCAAGTGTTGGATGAAAAATTATCATTTATAGAGTAGCTTTTGGAGCATTATGACAAGAACTATACAAACCATTTTCGGAGCATTAGCCGCTGGATCCGAGCACTGGACGGTCAACAACAAATACAAAAATGGAACGGAGAAGCACTCAAACATCAGCTTAGCATATTTCATGACATCCAAGAATTAGTGTCAATCATTAACGGCAGTGTATTAGTGTTAACTGTATCCATTACGTGAGTTTGTTTTGTCCCTCGTACATTTTAGAGCCTAGGGCTAAGAAAAGGGTGCTATTGGCCTCACTCGCACAACTGAGAAAAGGGCACTTGAAAGCAGGGTACAGACCTTCGCTCTGTAAAGTTGCCTTCACATCTGTGCCCGTTACTTTTAAATACTTCGAGATTTTTCAACACGGCTTTCCGCATATGAATCAGTGAGATTTTGAGTTTTAGGTATGCTGTCTAACTCAATTTAACCAAAAATACCAATATCACCCTTTTCTCAGCCTGAGGCTCATTACATTTATGTACTCCTTGTGTTTCAACCTGGCTGGTGGTCTAGAGCGAGATGAATGTCTACATCAGATTCATAATTGCGACTCCAATGCTTCGTGTACCAACACGGTTAGGTCCTACAACTGCACGTGTAACTCTGGGTTTTCAGGTGACGGCAGATCCTGCGGTATGTTACAATTGTTATTCGTATGATAATATGCCAAATAGAGCTTCAACGGAATGTTTTTGTTCTGGTAACTTCAGTTGCGCTCCGTGAAATCCAGCCTATAGTGCACATTTGGCACCCTCAACTTGTACGGCCTTTGGCGCCCTGAAAGCGGCATGAATGCATCTGGACGTACATAGGGTCCAGCGGATAATGCCGGCATTATATTCGGCATTATGAGACTATCCGAGCATCAGAGCATTATGGAGCATTAGATTCAAACAAAACGAGCATTGTGTGATGTTTTAGCGGCATTACAAATTGCATAGTAGATAATTATTTTGAAATCCCTGTTCTTTTTCTCAACAATCTGCTATATGCAGTCATGAGATCCAACCCTCCTCGTGTCTGAAATGCGTAGATCTACGGTTGGAGCACATTCTACCATGTACCTGTAGCCGTACATGACTTTGTGGACAAGTAACACTTTTAGCACTTTGTTCGCTGTTAGTAGCAATGCAGTCAGGTACGTACCGGTAAATGTACAGTCATGTACGTACAGTCGGAGTCAAAGAAATACGACACATAATATAAGCCAAAGGCAGCACCCATGGGGCCCTAGGATGTTTTTTAAACGGTTTTTGGATGGTGGAAGATGTATTGTAATAGAGTTTGGACTTGAAATGAGCCGAGGCACTACAACCAAAGATGTTCCACAAATTCGAAACGATGATTTACATGGAGTAGATGTTTGTTTAGAAATATTGGAGAGCCATGGATCATGGAGGAGACAGACGAAGATGTGTTTTCTCATTGTGCCTCAGACCCTGGCAATGGCGTTTCCACCAGGATGAAGGAGCGGCTATGAACAGAAAGCGGAAAGCGTTCCAAAGAACTGTCTTTGCTATGTCCAGCCAAGGCCAGGAGGCTCGAAGAAAAACTAGAATTACCCGTACTCCAGGACTCAGTTACAAATCCATATGAGCTCTCAGCATTGCGTGCCCGACTTTTCTAGTGAAGCAGGTACTGGTAGTTGTGGACGGTTGTAATGCCAAGCCTGCAGTCAAATGCTATAAAAAAAAGAGGAGTATCTTGGTCCTGCATTTATCTACACAAGACCAAGAGGAGAAGAAACCACCACAAGCAAAGGCTGTAGAATGGTACAATAACTTCCTACCATGTGTTTTCCCCGAGTTGGAGGGATCTCAATTGATGATCATCTCTCAAGAACTGACTTAATGTCTCCTGTTTGGGATAAGGCATTTTTCACACAGTGGAATCAGTGACAGGTTGTCTGCAGGCAGGAATACCACTTGCTAAGATAAGCTTCCAGCATCCATATGATCACCAGTAATAATGGTTTTCACCTCTCAGTACCTGGATAATAAGGGGAAGAGATTTGATACATCCACTATTCTGCCATGGCCCTGCCCTGGAGTTGATCTGCCTGTGTGGGGCTTCATCGACGGTACGATTCGCCCCATCTGCCGCCCCGAACTGAACCAGCGGGTATACTACAATGGCCACAAGCATACCCATGCGGTTAAGTAGCAGTGTGTTGTCGCAGTTCCAGATGGACTGATTTGCCACATGCACCGTCCTATCCAGGGTCGCCATCGGCATGATGCAGGCGTGCTCACGGAAAGTGAACTGGTGCCTCTACTGCAGCAACACATGCGCCGACCCGATGGTGGTTTCTGGGCCCTGTACGGTGATGCGGCGTACCCTCTCAGTGAAGTTATCATGAAAGGCTTCCAATGTGCAGGCATCAACATACAGCAAGAGGAATTCATTTCTTCAATGAGCGCTGCTCGCACTTCAGTGGAGTGGACATTTGGCACTCTCTGGGCATATGTTGATATGCGAAAGCAGCAGAAGGTGGGCCTACAGCCTGTAGGAATGGTGTACTTGCTGGCTGCTCTGTTGACTAATTGCAGAACATTTCTTTGGAAAGGGAACAAAACATCCGACTTCTTCAAGCTGTGTGTTCCAACACTTGATGAGTAGGTCCTCCAGTAGAGAATTATCCCGAAGAGTGTGCCTTCGTCTGTAGTCCATTTGGGTGACTGTACCATGCCAAGCTTAGTTGTTCCATCTTAAGAGAGCATGTCTGAGAAAACCACAGCATATGTGCAAGTCGATCTCCCAGATTTCGCTCAAATTTTGCAGGTAGGTTTGCTTTGGGGTGTAGATCCACATTCCAAAGCCCGCACAAAATCTTTTGAAGGGAACAAAAGGGAACAATGAAATTGGCATACCCCTCAATATTGGCCCAATATTGGCAAGATTTATGGGTCTACAAACGAGCCACGGCACAGCGTACAAGAACAAGCTACGAACAAAACTCCATCAAGCCAACATTACCTCACCTTCGAAGAGTTCTTGGGGCAGCACCACTTAGCCACGCCAGCATCCCAGAAGACGAGGGCAATCATCCCTTGACGCAACAAATGATCGTCTTGAAAATAGCCAAATTACAAGCGCTGATAAAACAGCGAGCTACGTCCTCAATTAGCAAACACTATACACCGGCAGATAGTAGAACACCTCTTCTAGCACTGAGGACATGTCCCCCCTCATCCTTTTTGGGTGTTCTTGAAATAAACAATTTTCCACTCGACCATTCTAAAATACGTCCCAACTCATACCTGCGCAGGAAAGCTCGCCCTTCCGCGACGTCTAGTCACCAATTTCTACTCCAACACCACTCCCAACGCTGCAGAACAAAGTGTATTGTTGACTCTGACAAGAAAAAGCAGCGGTGATCACTTGCCACTCCAAACGACAAGCTTCTCCTTGCGCCACCAAAATTTTTCGGTGCAGCAGTTGATGCAAAAGAGACTGAGTTTTTGGCTTTTTGCGTGTAGTTTTTGGATTTTACTGCAAGAGGAATGATGAAATCACGTGCTTCTAGACACAAGAATGCCAGGTCTCGTAGATCACGGTTCAGCAGGTGTTCCGAGTCATCAGGGTATCCGTCCTGGGATCCAACTGCAGTTACCCCTGCCCCCAGTGAAGGTAATACTTGCTACTAGTGTGGGTGGCTAAATCAGATGGCGGGGAGACTTGGCTGAAGTTGTAGGCTTTGACATACCACGTTGGTTTTACTGAAATCTTGACATGCCTATTGCGCTCCATGCCTTCGCGGACGCCAGTGAGAAAGCGTTTCGATGCTCTTTGTATGCAGTCATCAATGGAGAGTCACACTTGGTATTTGCCAAGGTCAAAGTGGCAACGGTGTCTCCGCCCACGTTAGCCCGCCTTGAGTTACATGCAGTATGTCTAGCGGCTTGCTATGCTGAGTTTGTGGTGAAGCAGCTGCGTGTGACCTTCACGCACGTCTATGGCTGGACTGACAGTCTCACAACCGTTCATTGGATCGGTAATCCATCGTACAAATGGAAAACATTTGTGGTGAACCGCGTCCGTCAAGACCAAGAGATATCGAAGAAGGTCGGCATTGTGTGGAACCATTGCCCGGGCCTTCACAACCCGGCAGATTTTCCGTCACGTGGGAGTCATGCACAGCAGATCCGTAGTCCGTTCTTGTTGGGCGGGCCAACCTGGATCACGGAGCCCGATGACTGGCCCACCGCATCCTCAACCGCTGGTACTGAAGAGTCCAGTGTAGAAGTGCGAGTGTCACCCACCACCTGTAGTCGAGAATCTGATAATGAATGGTGGCTCCGATTCAGTAAGTGGTCGTGGGCACAGGGCATGGCGACTCGGATGTTGCAGTGGAAGCACACTGAGCCTCTTACTAAACTATTTTGCAGCTGACAACGTATTGTACTGCATCGTTTAAGCCAAATGTTTCGCTGAGGATCTTGAGCTGATGAAGCAAGGTCAACCATTGAAGGCTAGGTCGAAGGTGTATCATCTTGCACCGTTTCTGGATGAGCATGGGTAGCTCAGAGCCGGGGGGACGACTCCACTACAGCGAGTTGGCGTATGGAGCCAAGCACCCAGTTCTAATAGGTAAACATCATCTGACCAAGTAGCTGTTAGAGAAAACGCATGTCGAAAGCATGTACCAAGGTGTATAAGGGGTCTTGTTGTACATCCATCAGAAATTCTGGATTATCGGCGGTCGATGACCGCTACGCAACATTACTCAGTGATGTGTTATATGCCGCCGCAACAAGGCTAAGGCTGCCTCAGAAGTCTGCCCGCCGCTGCCAACAGACCGAGTTGTTCACGAGAGGCCGTTCGCAACTACCGGCATCGACTATGCTGGTTCGTTGTACGTTTGACGTGGTGAGTTATCTCCGAAGGTATTGATAGCATTGTTTGTGTGTGCCACCACCAGAGCAGTTCAACACACTAAGACTCATGGGTACATGGACGATGGAAAGTTATAATTCCAGACAAGACAAGTACTTCCCAGTTTCCATGCCAGGGTTTCCAGCATAATCCGACTTCAAGTGGGTGACAATTTGTTCCATTTATGTACAAGAAAAGATTCGAATGAGTATGTTTCGGATATACCTGGGATTGGTGAATGAGTGGTTTAAATAGGTATTTTGAGGTCTAGACAATCTCCTGATGATCAAAATATATGCAGCAACTTCTTGAGAATCCAATATACTATGTTCTATTTCCATTCGTGTGCTTTGGATAATACGTGTATACACCCAATCACTGCTGCAGTATGCAATTGCTTGAATCACGGTCAGTGTACTGAAGATGGCACCTGCAACTGCCGGAAAGGATTCCACGGAGACAAGTGTCAGCATAGTAAGTGAAGTGAATACGCATGCTTCTTAGGGTGCGTTTGGTTGGTATGACCTAGAACAGGATTCACCAGAACAGCTTGTTTGGTTGGGACTGCACCTGTTCTGGGTCGACCAGAACATGTTCTGCTTGCTCCGGCCTCGAGGCGGGAGCAGACCGAGCAGTTTAACTTGTTCACAGTAAAACCTGGCAGGAACATCGATTTTGGTCCCAAATGATCACGTGCATACGTTTTTTTGGGTTGAACTCGTTGTACCGTACAAAGTGACCATGGTGACTCATAAACATTTTGGAGAATGAACAAAGTTGGGCACATTTTTCACAAAAATGTGCTCTGTTTCTGGAGTACCGTTTGGTTGGCATGAGGCTGCTCCATGTGCACCAGCTGTTGGATCCTGTTCTAGTTTGTACCAACCAAACACACCCTTTACTGAAAATTTGAAATGAGCGAGTCGTTGTTTCGCAAAAATTACTGTCAGTAGTATGACCCCCAACATGTAATATTATTTGTCCCTACTTAGCAGAATAACACAGTAGTTGCGAGTATTTCCCGAACTAGGCTGCAAGCAAGACAACAATCATGCGTACCAGGTGTACTACGTTTGGTTTTGCAAGAGTGTAGGCGTGCATTGTTTTATGTCTGGTCAATAGAATACTCGTATTCAGTCGAATGCTCGCTAGTTTTCTCAAATAGTACTCGAGTCGATGATTATGGCACACAGTTCAACCATACTGTTGCGGATTTCTGTTCGACTATGATTTACGCATGTTGTTGTATTTGGCTCTTGTCTGGTGGTGTCCAGTGTCTGATGTCATAATATATGGTCTAAGTGTACGCGCGAGTATGGTGTGATGTGTGACGTTTATGGCATGTGGTGCATGCAAGATTACGCGTTGTCAGAGTGTGAGGATGTACTTCCGTCTGTGTGAGAGTGACTGTCAAATGAATGCTGTACATGCACAGTGCTAGTTTGGTCTGGGAATGAGAGCCATGTGTGATTCGTCCGTGGTCTGGTTGTCTTGGCCTGGTCATGTGTTCTGTACGTATTAGTCCCTGATTGGTCGTTTCGATGTGTTCGCCTTTTCTCTGTTTATAACTGTTGGTTGTTTATTATTTTAACTGGTTTGAGGGAAAGAGACAAACGGAAAAGTCTGAAGAAAACATTGACTGTCACCCCCAGGACTCGAACCAGGGACCTTGGCTTGTAGCCAGCGATGCTCTTATCACTGAGCTATGGTGTAGTCGTCATCCCAGCAGAGGCCATTCAACATTTTCTTCAGACTTCGTTTTTTGTTTCGTTTATTAATTCGTTGTCTCTTCTCCCCCGTTCTCCCGCCCACCAGTTAGTTATTTATTCCAAGAGATATTGTTCAAGTAACTGTGTTATCCTCTTGCCCGCCTGAATGAGTCAGAGAGTGGTTGTGTGGCGGGAAGCGGGGGGGGGGGGGGGGGGGGGGGGGAATTCCACAACATTGGCGCCCAACGTGGGGCTCGAACCCACGACCCTGAGATTAAGAGTCTCATGCTCTACTTGATGATGGTGTGCAGTGTTTGCAAACCAAACCATTTCCTGTTTTCTTGTGTGGTATTGAAAGCTGGTCAGAGTTCCTTTTTGTGTTTGTTCGTTCTTTGCCGCATCCTCTGCTGCTTCTGCCATAACACCCCACTGTCCGCTGAAATGATCTGTGCAGCAGCAGTTTGCATGATTTATCTGTGCACATGTTCTGCTGGTTTCAGAATTTGGACAAGTATAGATTATAGCAGAGTTGTAGAATCAATCGACAGCGACACAAGTGTTTATAATCTCGAGAAAAAATCAAATTGTTTTCGCAGCAATTGAGATTGAGGCTATTAGATCTGTCTGATGAATTTGAATTGTTTTTGTTGTGCCTATATGACGCTGGCCATGGTTACAATGCAGTATGTAATCAGTTAGTAACCCCTTGCATTCTGCTTACCTACTGTTGTTCAGACATTGATGAATGTTTGCCGGCTAGCCCATGCCATGTCGATGCTATCTGCATTGATAATGATGGCGGATACATGTGTCTGTGCAAGTCAGGTTACCACGGAAATGGAACTCAATGTCAAGGTCAGTCAGCAATTTGTAATGAATACAGAGGTGTCGGCACAGTCAAATTGTTCGGGATGTGGAAACTCCGAAGTTATGCTCATTGCGCCAATTTCCAGAGACCAATTTTGTTGGCAGCACCTTACATGTGGCTGATAGAGGCCTGCCATTGTCATGCGTTACGGAGCGTTTTTATATTTTCCGGCTAGGTACTCAAGATCCAGCTGTTAGCCTGTGTTTTTTCATCTAGTCCTGCATCTATCAGGGTGTGTTAAGAGTATGTTTACAGTCTACTCATGCCCATTAAAACCATGCAATAGCATTCAGGTACCTAGGATGGGGTCCCGGCTTCAGACCAGCAATGTTCTTGTTTTCCAGATTTCAGCTTCTTGTTCTTATTGTATTTCGCTAGTGTCCGAGAGTGGATGTGAACTGTAAAAAGTTACTTTACATGAAACCCCGTTATTCCTGAGTTTAGTGTTCAGCCTGTTTCATTACAAAAATTGTAATCTTTTTGTTCTTCAAGAGTAAGGCGTTTGAGCTGATGAGCTTGTTACCTACTCTCGGCAAAACATTGAAAGCTATTTTTTGCTTTTGTCCGTCGTCAGGTGAAAGTTCAAGCTAGGAAAAGGAGAGTTGTTCTTCGGCACTCAATGTTACTGTACATAATGAGTACTTTCTCACCTAGTCGCAGATGCAGAGAAGCAGCTAAAGTCGATGCCACAGGAAGGGAGAAAGGTTTTCTGCAGCGAGAGAGACTCTGCTGGAACTGCCTCAAGTATAGCCATGTGGCAAGGGACTATCGGTCAGGCTTGAGGTGCACAAAATGCCAGGGGAAGCACCATCTGCTAATACATGATGTGTTGAATGGAGCAGGTTACAGCCGGGAGAAACCGACTTAGATAGTAACAGAGGAGAAGGTTGGATCGTGCTGTCTACACTCAGCAAGTGTGCGGCTGATGAGCGGAGTTGCACAAGTTGAGGGAAGAACTCGAAAGGCGAAGGTTCACGTGTTCCTGGACTCCGGTGCTGAGGCGTCATTTGTGACTGCAGCGTTGGTGTCAACAACACACGTTGGTGTTGTAAATGTACAGGTGAAGCCGTTCGGCGAGGAACAAACCCAACAGCGCATGGATAAGTACGCCATCACGATCCAAGGTAGCTGCGCTACGCTAGCATTCCGGTACGTGCGTTCGTGCGTTCGTGACCATTGCGCGCCGCAAAACGCGTTGCAGTCTGCACGCTTATCGTTTTCGTGTAAGCAGCAAAAACGTTTCGAAAACAATTGAAAAACGTTTTTCAATCGTTGTCCTGTAAATCAGGCCTTATTGTTTGAACCAGCTCTGCCTCTCGGTGTTGAGCACTCTCTTGGACAGCCTGGAACTTCTCTGTTTTACAGGTCGCTCCCCTGCTCCCAGGGTTGAGCACTCTCCCTGGCTGTTCATACTCGAGGATGGACAACCCAAGACCGCTACATCTGGACTACTCACTGAAGAACATTCCCATCCCCTCAGAACACACCTGCACTTACAAGGCTGATCGAGAAGGTTGAAAGGGTGTTGAAGCGGATGCGGTGCAAGACATTGTTCTACCTGGAAGGACCTACAACCAACGATCCAAAGGACACCTATGGCCTCAAGCCCCGGAAATGCCCGCCCCAAGTCGACGAACTGAAGGCGTTTTGTAGAGTCACTGATCCCTTTCAGCAACGGCTCCGAAGCCACATCCAGAAAATCAGAGCACCACCGCACATCATCGTGCCAGCTGACAAAACCAGAAACCTCTACGCAGTTAACAAAGAGTGGTGGTGAAAGGGGTGATCCGGGTAACCCGGGTAACCGTCTGTTTAGCTGCTGATCCGTTAGCAAACGAGTACCCGTTAGTCGTGTAGGATTGTAGGGTACAGTATTAGAAGCTTGCTTGTACAGTAGTACAGTTCAGCGCACAGTTTTGAGTGTGTTTTTCCTCGTTCAATCCTGCTACAAGTACATATCAAGGTATCCACATCTTGAGCGGAACCGACTGCTTCCAGACAGCCAGTATGGATTCCGTAGAGGCAGGGGAACTGCTGATGTCCTGACAGCCCTGCAGAACGAGTGAGTCCAGGCTGTTGCAAACGGTGGATCTGCTCAAGTGATAGCCGTGGATATAGCTGGCGCGTTCGATCGCGTGTCGCACACTTGTCTCCTGTACAAGGCAGAACGGGCTGGCATCAGGGGTACACTACTGACTTGGCTTCAGGACTACCTACATAGCCGCCAACTGAAAGTTGTGGTCAGCGGTCAAGCTTCATCTGCTCAGCCTATCACCGCAGGAGTACCTCAGGGAAGTATCCTCGGGCCGACTCTATTTCTTATCTACGTCAGCGACATCGACCAATGTCTTACCCCCGGAACGCGCCTTAGCTCCATTGCTGGTGACGCCATGCTATACAGCCTGTTGCAACCAGGAACTGCTGCTCCCCACAATGCCTCCCGACCAGATGCCCTACATGGCCTTCAAGAGTGGGGTGAGCGGTGGCGGGTGACATTTTAGCCATCCAAGTCACAGCAGCTACTGTGCACACGATCCTTGGACCCAGCCACTCCAGGCATCTCATGGTGTCGACATTGCCCAGGCATCAACACTGAAGCTGTTGGGTATATTGTTCGACTCAAAGCTTTCGTTTCGCCAGCACATCAGCAGCTTGGCGGTGAGAGCAAGTCAACGTCTTTGGCTTTTGCGCCGAGCCGCGCGGATACTTGACACTAATGGCCGTCTTAGTGTCTACCGAGGATTCATTCACCCTATGCTGGAGTATGCTCCACTAGTCTGGATGTCTGCTGCCCCGACCCATCTGGCCAGGCTCGACCGCATTCAGCGGAAGGCAATGGCCATCATAGGACCAGATGTGCTCCTCCAGAGTCTGGCTGCACGACGCACTCTCTCTGAGCTGTGCTACATGTACAAGCTTCAGTGCATCGAAAGCCCACAACAGCTGACCAACATTGTCCCACCAGCTGCACCCACTGTGGTTCGTCCACGAACCCGACACACGCATGCAATGACCCATCCTCACCAGCTCCTCAATACCCTACCACCAGCTGCACCGGAGTACATCAGGCGGTCCTTCCCATTTGCCCACATCAGTTTGTGGAATCAACTGCCACCCTCCCTGTTCCAGCCATCAATGTCCCTGCAACGGCTGCACCGCTTCAAGCCAGCTGCATGGAAGCACTTGCTGCACACTGACTGCCTGTGGGCTACAGACCACCTCTGAAAGCCACTGCTGCACACACCTGCGATGAAGTTGCCAGCCACTCTGGTCTAGATTCACCCTGCCGCATCACTCGAGAGCTACCCACACATCTCTCAATCTCCCCCTTTTTTCCACTATTATTATTCCCTTCTTGTTTGTTTTGTCTTATTTTTTCATTTCATTTTTTGTCTTCAGTCACTTTCTTATGTTGGCTCATTATAAACTTATGATTAATTTTGATGCATACATGGCACTGTGACGCCGAGACCCATGGTCGGCAGAGTCCATGTATTTCATCAGCACAGCTATTAACTGGCATTGTGGATAGCGCCTACCCAGTCCAATGTACGTTTTGTCTTTCAACATGATTTGTAGAGTTGTGTTCTCTTTAAAAATAAAAAAATCCATTGTAGCTACGACAATTTCGACTGTTAGCATGTAGCGCAGTGATTTCGCAAACTGTGCTTGTCGCGGTGTAGTGTACTTGTATGACTTCGCATTTCCTCCTGGCGTGAAATCCGGAAGGCTACTGTAGCAATTGTTGCCCGAAAATCTCTCTCCTATCAGAATGCCTGCAATTCGCTTACGATCACAAGCAAATGCAGCGTTTTGGGGAAAGGTATGTCGGATAAAGGGTACCCGTTAATCCGCCTGTGAAGCCGGATACCCGTTTGTTACCTTAAGGGGTAACCGTTTCACCTCTAACAAAGAGCAGTACACAAACTGCTGAGCAACAACATCACCAAGCAGTTCAAACCTACACCGGCAGAGACTTACGACCAGATCAACTCGGAAGCTCAGACAATTGCTGCGACGCTAGAGCTGGACGACAGAATGGACGCAATGGCGAAGAAGGACGCATACATCACGCTGAAGTATCATAAAGACCACTTTTGCCGGTCCCTGTCATGCCGGCTCATTAATCCCTCAAATAGTGACATCGGCATAGTCTCGAAGTCTATACTGGACACCGCTCTAAAACAGCTCTACCCCCAGCTGCAGATTAATGCATGGAGGAACACGGCAGCAGTGATAGAGTGGTTCACAAGAATACCAAAGACGAACAAACAAATTAAGTAAACGAGAGAGCTTGGAAGCTCAGGGCCCTACGCTAAGCTTTTTTGCCTTGATGACCTAGGCAACAAAAAGCATAGGGATGTTATAAATTCTTAAAAGTTTCTACTTTTTGTTTTTAGACATAATCTGGGATTCGAACCTGCACTATTGCCCTGCATGCATCCCCGATACACTTCGCATACATACTAATTCTTCCAAGTTGCTTCACGTTATGATCTTGTAATTGAAAGCCCTATTGGAAAATGCATTGTGGCCAGGCGTCTTTGAATGTACGGTACGGTACAGGATAGGTACGGGAAAGGTACGGGACAGGTACGGGACAGGTATGGTCGAGGGTAATACGACACCGTCTACCGCCTTGATGACGGCAAAAAAAGAAAGTGGATGCTATAAAATTTTCAATTCTCCTATTTTTCAGGCATTACTTGGGATTCGAACCCGCACTATCGCCCCACATGCATTCTCCCATACACTTCGCATTCATACCCATTCTTCCAAGTTGCTTTACGTTATTATCTTGCGTTTGAAAGCCCTTATGGTTGATAAATATGGTGGTAAAGACACACCTGGCAATATGGCGGTAAACACACGCCTGCCCACACACGCTCTCTAAGCTGCAAAGTTCTAGCACAGAGCTCTCCTTCTCACCACCACCACCATCAGTGGTATCTTCAACTTCATTCTCCCGAGTCAAGCTCCGTATGAA